AACAACTAAAATTTTTCCTGATTTTAAAATCGTTATAAAGGAAACCAAAAAACACGAAATAGAGTTAGAGTTAGGACAGCGGGTAGAATGGACCACTACTTTTGAGTGAAACCAGTAAAGAAAGTCTTAAAGTCGGGCGGGGCCGACTTTATGATACCCTACACCACTTTGCTAATTTAGTAGAGCTCCGATCTCGATAAAATTTTGCAAAGATATTTCTGAGCTGTATTTGATATATCTCCCTGAATACCGTTGTTACGGAGTGCATATTACGGTTGTGGGTAACAAATATAACAAATCGGATGAATAATATATATGGAGGCTATAGGTATATCTGAACCGATCTTCACCAAATTTGACATACTAGCTTCTAGACTCAATTCGGTCGTATGTGCCAAATTCCATCCCATTTGGACAAATATTAGACGTTTGGTGCACAATAAAAGGTAAATCGGCCGAAGTTATATATGGGAGCTATATCCAAATCTGAACCGATCTCCATAAAATTTTGCAAGTGTATTTCTGAGCTGTATTTGATATATTCCCCTAAATATTGTTGTTGCAGAGTGCATATTACGGCGGCGGTGGACAAAAATAACAAATCGGATGAACAATATATATGGGAGCTATAGCTATATCTGAACCGATTTCGATCAAATTTGGCATAAATATTTTCAGGCTTAATTTAGTTGTATGTGCAAAATTCCATACAATTCGGGCTGATATTACACGTTTGGTGCACAATAAAAGGCAAATCGGACGAAGATATATATGGGAGCTATATCTAAATTTTGACTGATTATCTCCAATTTCAATAGGGTTCGTCCTTGGGCCAAACAAATGATCTGTGCAACATTTCATCTGGATCGGGCAATAAATGCGACCTGTACTTTGTTTACAAAAATACATGGACAGACGGACGGACGGACGGACGGACGGATAGACGGACATGCATAAATCGACTCAGAATGTGATTCTATGCAGATCATCAAAAGGAACTATGGGTCTATCTCGTTTCCTTTTGCCTGTTACAAACAAATGCACAAAGACATAATACCCTGACCACCTTGTGGTGTAGGGTATAAAAATACTAACATTACAGGCAATACCGAAATACACAAAAGGCGAACTTCTGGCTTTTTTATGCTGATTTCGTTGACGAATATAGCCAAATGTCGTAGACAAGCAAATCATATAGATGAGTCTAAATTTGGAGGTACGGAGGGGCTTCTTGTTTTGGAGATGATTGCAAAATATTCAGGGGTTCAAATTAAGCAAAAACAGAAATGTTTTTCCGAGCACACAATTGAAGCCAATCGACACTGAGAAGAGAGTCAAGGACATGAAAGAATTCTAGCATTTTGGATGACCATTGGATTATATTTAGGTGTAACTAATAGAACGACGGAGTGAGTAAATATTGGGCTGTTTTCTTCCGTCTACTTCCTTGACTTCGGGCTACGCTACCAGTATCACGGTAACGAGCGATGATACGAGACAAACGATTTATTCACATTTAATCTATATATACAATAAAGTAATAAAATAACTGACTGACCGAGGAAAAACCCACAGACAAAACGGCTGAAGCTAGAATCTCGAAATTTCGCACGAGCGTGAATCTTGGTTTGTCGGCGTTTTTGATAATTCGTACCAAATGTACTAAAATGTACTAAAAACGATATACATTGTACTGGACAAATGAAATTACTTCGCAGTCATGGCTAAATGTCTCAATACTTGAATGTCTTTGATGGTGTTAATGTGTGCGCAAACGTCACTAAGAAGGAAACTACGACATAACAACTTCCACAGCTACTGAGCCATCTTAAAATCTTGTCAAACTAAAAATAGATAAGGCGTTATGAATGCTGGATGGAAAAGTAATCTAATTTTGTCAGTAGGCGACTAGGTATGTGTACATCCTTGTTACCTAAAGTCATCTTAGGTGGTGTTAAATTTAGCGTTAATTTAAATTTGTTAGCTTGTGACAAAATAGGAATCTATTAGATGATCCAAGAACTTTTCTGGCGTTTATTTAATCCAACATAATTTGAGAAATTTATTTGATTGTGGGTAGGTATTAGATTAGTAGGATGAAAAGCATAGCAGTGTCGTCAGTACCGTCACCAAGACGGAATTACAATTACTTGTTAACGATACATTATAGGTTGAAGTAAATTGCACAATTTTGCAAACTAAATATGTTTAAGAATAAAGTTTGATAAGAACATGGATTAAAAATGTTCGAAATGCTACGCAAAGGTAAGGTGCAATGACTCAAATCACATATATACAGGGTGAGATGAAAAAACTGCAACCAACATTTCTAAGCCACTCGTCTGACAGCTGTTAAAATCGCTCGTTACCGTGATACTGGTAGCGTAGCCCGACGTCAAAGAAGTGGACGGAAGAAAACAGCAACATCAGCAGAAATGGTTTGAAACATAAAGATGCGACTTAATCGAAACCCGTGTCGCAGTGGTCGAAAAATGGCTCGTGAGCTGAACACATCGCGATATTCCATTCAGCAAATACTAGAAAATGAGCTTTGGGTAACGCCATTGAAATTCCAAAAAGTGCAAGAACTTACACCGCAACAGAAAGAAAATAGACTCAAAAGAGCTAAAGAGTTGCTTCGCTTGGCCGAAAGTGGTGAACTGTCGAATTTGGTTTTCTCTGATGAGAAAACATTCGTTGTTTAGCAGTTTGTAAACAAAACAAGTAAAAAAGCTGTAAGTTCGGCTAGGCCGAACTTTTAATACCCTCCACCATTTGGTACAAAGTTGACAATTTCCAAAAAAAAAAATAAAATAAAATCCGTTAAAAATTCTGTTAAAATCTTAAAAATACCGAATGCCTAAACTGGAAGAAAAATCTGTTTAAATGTAGCTAAAATCATCAAAATACCGAATATCGGGGGGTACCGTTATATATAGGGGCTATACGAAGACGTGGACCTACACAGATTATTTTCTGTCTTAGGCTGTAGTATCCAATACGAACTTCAAATGCCAAATTTGAAACAATTCCGGTGAATAGTGGCGCTAAAATCATCAAAATATCGAATATCGGGAGGTACCGTTATATGGGGGCTATATGATAACTTGGACCTACATGGCCCATTTACGAACTTAACCTGCCTACTGGCAAAATATACATGTGTGCAAAACTTTAGCCTTCTATCTCAATTTGTTCGAAAGATAGCGTGATTACAACAGACAGACAGACGGACAGACAGATGGACAGACAGACAGACAGACGGACATGGTTAAATCGTCTTAGAATTTTACGCTGATCAAGAATATATATACTTTGTTGGGTCTGACATGAGTATTTCGAGGAGTTACAAACGGAATGATAAAATTAATATACCCTCCATAGTATGGTGGAGGGTATAAAAATGATCGTGTGTACATGTCAAAGAGGTCAGCTGAAAATGTGCATCTTCGGTTGGCCACCAGAACTCAGGCGCCGACCATGGGTATTGTGTGGGCCGCCCTAACAGCCGATGGTCGCTCTCCGCTCGTATTAATCGACCGTGGCGTCAGAATAAATGCCGAATATTATCGCGAAAATATTCTGGAGGGTGTACGAAAGCCTTGGGCGCACAAACATTTTGGCCGATGACCTTGGACATTGCAACAGAACTTACCACCATCGCACTCAGCACGCGCACCCAAGCATGGTTACAAAATGAAGTTCCCCGCTACATTTCCAGCACACAATGGCCACCAAAATCTCTGGATATCAATCCGTTGGACTATTGTGCCGGGAGTATTTTGGAAAGCAAGGTTGGCGCTAAAAAATACAAAGTGTCGATAACCTCAAGCAAGCGCTTCGCAAGGGCAATATTCGGGGAGCGTGTGACGGTTTCAGTGGCCGTTTGAAGGTCATAATTCGTGCCAATGGTGACCAATTCGAACAAATCTAAACTTATTCTAAAATTTGATAATTTGATTTCCGACATTTTTTGTTTCCATTCAATAAAAATAAAAAAAAGTAAAATTTTTGGCGTTTGACTTTTTTGCAGTTTTTTATTTCATCCTGTATATGTTATCTCTTTCTCATACCTTCCCAATAAACGTCGAACATTTTGAAAAGTGCTCAGTTCCGGAAGTGTGTCGATCCACTGTTAGCATGGAATGGAAAACAAATTCAGTAAAAAATGGATCATATTTGAAGATGAACCATACTCATTATTTTCTACTACTACTCAATTTTATACTTTCTTTTCTACTACTCGAAAACACTCCAGAGAAAATAGTTATGGCAGTATATGTTGAGGGAAGATATTTTCGCAATATGTTGTCCTCAAGTATTTATGTTGTCCTCATTCAATATCATACTTTTCTCTGTATTTATATGCTCAAATTATTATCTCATTCCGGTCGAATTCATGACATCCAATTAAAATCATTTCTATTCCATTGTGATTCATATCAGGAAACGAACAACATTCAAACAAATCCAGAGAACTTAGCCGAATCATAACATATGCGTGTCTGACTATAAAAGTGTATTAAATTATTACTTACTACAGTAAATATAAAATGCCGGAATGGAGAGGGATATGCTTTGTGAAGTAAGCGGGCGGCTTTTACATGTGTTGTCTTCCAGCAACAAATTCTCTACATGAAGGGCCTAGCTGGCGGTAGCAACAAATCACAAGGATTTAGATAGTAAAATATAGCTGTTGACTGTATAAACAGGGGGCTTTGCTGGAAATATATACATTTGGTACATATGCTTCTGTATATATACAAATTCACACACACACACACACTAGCATTACATTGTTAAAATGACTGATTGATAGCACTCGTATCGTAGTCGTCGTCGTCGTTGGCAATGTAAATATTTATTTCCGTTCTTTTCTAAATAAACTTTAGTGTCCGCTCACGCACACATACACAGACCGAGACACACTTAAATTGACTCATTTCATTTCCGTTTCATGTGCCTCCTAACCTCACCTCCACCCTTCTTTTTCTTTGCAGATCATCAATATGAATCACACTGTCTTAGGTCTGGGCAGTTTTTCCCTGCAAACAAATTCCATGGACATGTTGAGTTCCATGGGCAACGGTGACAGTAGCGAAAGTAGGGATATATCCATGGATTACCTGGAGATGACTGATGATGGCCAGAATAACCTACAGCAATTAAATGCGTCATTGAGCGGCAGCGGCGGCGGTGGCAACAACAACAACGACACACTAACAATAGATCCAGTATTGCTGGAGCGATTTACTCGTAATCGTAGCATAGACGGCCTGTGGTACCATGTGCTCATCATGCTCTACTGTGTTCTAATCATTTTCGGAGCAATGGGCAATATTCTAGTTGTAGTAGCTGTGATACGAAAACCAATGATGCGAACAGCAAGAAATTTATTCATATTGAATTTAGCTGTATCAGGTAAGGAAAAAAGTTTAATTTGTGTGTGTGTGTGAACACAGTGGGTACAGTGGGTATTGAAAGCGACTTAAGGGCGTAAGGAGATAATTGCGTAGGAGTATTGAGGACATGAAACTGTGGTAATGGCGCATGAAATGAGGAAGAAGAAATAAAAACAGTATATGTCCGTCAAGATAAATTTAAATTTAATTAGCAAAGACACAAACCAAGGTGATTTTTTCTCCGGTTCACAAAGGGTTAATAAAGAGAGAGAGAGAGAGAGAGAGAGAAAGAGAGAGAGAGTAGTAAACCAGAGAAAATTAAAGGTAAACTAAATTATATTAGTTTTCATCAAATTTCAAAATTTTCCCTACAAATTTCAAATGAAATCGCTAATTAAAAACCTAATTAAAATTTACGTTGAAAAACTTTGAAACCCTTAACTCTACATTTAAACTGAGAATAAAATATTTAAAAATGAAGCGGTGTCGAGGCTGGGCACAAATGAAAGGTCTCGAGGAGTACTTTCCGAATCTGTGGACCTTATAGTCTAAAAGAATTTCAGAATTAGGAATTTTTTGCATTTTCTGAAGAATTATCGCTCAATTTTATGGAAATTGCAGATAAAAACGTCCACAGAACAGAAACTAAAAATGAAGCGGTGTCGAGGCTGGGCACAAATGAAAGGTCTCGAGGAGTACTTTCCGAATCAGTGGACCTTATAGTCAAAAAGAATTTCAGACTTCGGAATTTTTTGCATTTTCTGAAGAATTATCGCTCAATTTTATGGAAATTGAAGATAGAAGCGTCCACAGAACAGAAACTAAAATGAAGCGGTGTCGAGGCTGGGCACAAATGAAAGGTCTCGAGGAGTACTTTCCGAATCTGTGGACCTTATAGTCAAAAAGAATTTCAGAATTAGGAATTTTTTGCATTTTCTGAAAAATTATCGCTCAATTTTATGGAAATTGCAGATAAAAGCGTCCACAGAACAGAAAGTAAAAATGAAGCGGTGTCGAGGCTGGGCACAAATGAAAGGTCTCGAGGAGTACTTTCCGAATCTGTGGACCTTATAGTCGAAAAGAATTTCAGACTTAGGCATTTTTTGCATTTTCTGAAGAATTATCGCTCAATTTTATGGAAATTGCAGATAAAAGCGTCCACAGAACAGAAACTAAAAATGAAGCGGTGTCGAGGCTGGGCACAAATGAAAGGTCTCGAGGAGTACTTTCCGAATCTGTGGACCTTATAGTCAAAAAAAATTTCAGAATTAGGAATTTTTGCATTTTCTGAAGAATTATCGCTCAATTTTATGGAAATTGAAGATAGAAGCGTCCACAGAACAGAAACTAAAAATGAAGCGGTGTCGAGGCTGGGCACAAATGAAAGGTCTCGAGGAGTACTTTCCGAATCTGTGGACCTTATAGTCGAAAAGAATTTCAGACATAGGCATTTTTTGCATTTTCTGAAGAATTATCGCTCAATTTTATGGAAATTGCGTCCACAGAACAGAAACTAAAAATGAAGCGGTGTCGAGGCTGGGCACAAATGAAAGGTCTCGAGGAGTACTTTCCGAATCTGTGGACCTTATAGTCAAAAAGAATTTCAGAATTAGGAATTTTTTGCATTTTCTGAAGAATTATCGCTCAATTTTATGGAAATTGCAGATAAAAGCGTCCACAGAACAGAAACTAAAAATGAAGCGGTGTCGAGGCTGGGCGCAAATGAAAGGTCTCGAGGAGTACTTTCCGAATCTGTGGACCTTATAGTCAAAAAGAATTTAAGACTTAGGAATTTTTTGCATTTTCTGAAGAATTATCGCTCAATTTTATGGAAATTGCAGATAAAAGCGTCCACAGAACTGAAACTAAAAATGAAGCGGTGTCGAGGCTGGGCACAAATGAAAGGTCTCGAGGAGTACTTTCCGAATCTGTGGACCTTATAGTCGAAAAGAATTTCAGACTTAGGAATTTCCATAAAATTGAGCGATAATTCTTCAGAAAATGCAAAAAATGCCTAAGTCTGAAATTCTTTTCGACTATAAGGTCCACAGATTCGGAAAGTACTCCTCGAGACCTTTCATTTGTGCCCAGCCTCGACACCGCTTCATTTTTAGTTTCTGTTCTGTGGACGCTTCTATCTTCAATTTCCATAAAATTGAGCGATAATTCTTCAGAAAATGCAAAAAAATTCCTAAGTCTGAAATTCTTTTGACTATAAGGTCCACAGATTCGGAAAGTACTCCTCGAGACCTTTCATTTGTGCCCAGCCTCGACACCGCTTCATTTTTAGTTTCTGTTCTGTGGACGCTTCTATCTTCAATTTCCATAAAATTGAGCGATAATTCTTCAGAAAATGCAAAAAATTCCTAAGTCTGAAATTCTTTTGACTATAAGGTCCACAGATTCGGAAAGTACTCCTCGAGACCTTTCATTTGTGCCCAGCCTCGACACCGCTTCATTTTTAGTTTCTGTTCTGTGGACGCTTCTATCTTCAATTTCCATAAAATTGAGCGATAATTCTTCAGAAAATGCAAAAAATTCCTAAGTCTGAAATTCTTTTTGACTATAAGGTCCACAGATTCGGAAAGTACTCCTCGAGACCTTTCATTTGTGCCCAGCCTCGACACCGCTTCATTTTTAAATATTTTATTCTCAGTTTAAATGTAGAGTTAAGGGTTTCAAAGTTTTTCAACGTAAATTTGAATTAGGTTTTTATTTAGCGATTTCATTTGAAATTTGTAGGGAAAATTATGAAATTTGATGAAAACTAATATAATTTAGTTTACCTTTAATTTTCTCTGGTTTACTACTCTCTCTCTCTTTCTCTCTCTCTCTCTCTCTCTTTATTAACCCTTTGTGAACCGGAGAAAAAATCACCTTGGTTTGTGTCTTTGCTAATTAAATTTAAATTTATCTTGACGGACATAAACAGTATTTACTTTTATCGAGAGATGATGTATAGCATATTCATTCTCTGTACAGATGTTAGTAGATTATCAGAAGCAGCTAACTTGTAAAAAATATGGAGGCTCTTGAAATGTATAAAAATATTTTTAACAAATTTACTCTGAGTATAGTTGGAAATTCTTAAAAAAAAATATATCGGTAGTTTATCAAGTGAACCTTAATCCTAGAAGTTCAGTGTGATTCTCTAAAAAGTGAACGACTGAATTAACGACAATTATCTATGACAGCAGTTTCAAAAAAGTTTGTTTGTAATTTATGGACTCGAAAACCGCTTCACAGATTTTCCTGAAAAATTACTGGTATACTACTACATCACCTGAAAGTAACATAGGCTATATACATTTTTGAAATTCCACTTCGAACTGGAGGTATAGCACCAGAAACTGAGATACCTTCCAAAAAATTAGATTTTATATGCACATATCTCTTGATTAGTTACAGATAAAATCTTTAGATTTGGTAAGCGTAACGGAATTTGGAACAAAAATAAATTTACCAAATTATATTGAAATCGGTTCGGATTTGGATATAGCACCCATATACATTATCGGCCAATATCATGTATTTGATGTACCAAACACGATATGTATGTTCTTTTTTAATAAAATTTGGAGTGACGGGATTTAATCAGAAAATAAATTTGCTAAATTATACTAAAATCGGTTCAGATTTGGATGTAGCTCCCATTTATATTTTTGACCGAATTCGTTTATTTGATGCACCAAACACGATACGTATGTCCGATTCCAATTAAATTCGGCATGATTGACAAAATTTGGTGCAAAAAAAAAAAAAATTGCTAAATTATATTGAAATCGGTTGAGGTTTGGGTTTGACTCCCATATACAGGGTGAGATGAAAGAACTGCAACCAAATTCAGACTGATGTCATTTCTAATCCACTCGTACAAAGAGCAAGAACTTACACCACAACAGAAAGGAAATCGACTCAAAAGAGCTAAAGAGTTGCTTCGTTTGACCGATAGTGGTGAACTGCCGAATTTGATTTTCTCCGATGAGAAAACATTCGTTGTCCAGCAGTTTGAAAACAAAAAAAAATGATCGTGTTTACTTGCCAAAGAGGTCAGCTGAAAATGTGCATCTTCGGTTGGCCACCTAAACTCAAGCGAGCCGGTGGTCGCTCTCCGCTCGTATTAATCGACCGTGGTATTAGAATAAATGTCAAATATTATCACGAAAATATTCTGAAGGGTGTTTTAAAGCCATGGGCACGCTAACATTTTGGCCGCATACCTTGGACATTTCAACAGGACTCAGCAGCAGCGCACTCAGCACGCGCCAACCATGAATGGTTACAAAAGGAGGTTCCTCGCTTAATTTCCAGCGCACAATGGCCACCAAAATCTCCGGATACCAACCCTTTGGGCTATTGTGTCTGGAGTATTTTGGAAGGCAAGGTTGGCGCTAAAAAATACCTAAGTGTCGATCACATCAAGCAAGCGCTTCGCCGGGAATGGGGCAAAATACCGCAGATCAACATTCGGGCAGCGTTTGACGGTTTCATTGGCCATAGTTTGTGCCAAACAAACAAATCTAAACTTATCCTAAAATTTTATGTTATTTCCGATATTTTTTGCCTTCATTCAATTAAATTGCGTTTGACTTTGTTACACTTTTTTATCTCACCCTGTATTAGTGAATTTTTTCAGTTAATGAGATATACAATATAATCCAAATATTAATAATTCTGACTGACTGTTTTCTTGCTTTACCCAATTTTTATACAAATTTTATTTTTTTAACAGTTTTTCGGGCACAAATTTTTTTGAACTCTATATTGGAAAAAATCCTTGATCTTACATTTATTTTTGGCCACTCTCCTTCATTTTTCTTTCAATAAAAGAAACAACTTGTATATTTGAAATTACTAGACTCTATCTTTATATCTCTTTATAATAATTATTTTTTAATACAAATGAATATTTTCTATTAAACTGAGTTTAAATGCCATTTCGATCCCGAATGTGTTAAATGACACGTATTGAAATATCTATCAAAGTCATTAATGGGGAAAATGTTAAATGTGTAAAACACATTCTGTTGAAAAATATCGCCAACATAGTTTAGCATACTTGCCCTAATGATGGTGATTCCTCCTAAACCACATAGTGGGCAAAGAAAATCATTGGTAAATTATTCTCTTTAACAGTTTATTTCCCACAACAGCACAGTCCATTTCTTGGTATTCTAATTTCACCATTGAAATGTGATGCGCTCGTTGCTGATTTGGTTGTTTGTCATGTCGGACAAATGAATGGTTCATCATTAATTCCAGCTTCCATTGACAGTAACATGCAATTCGCCCTGACCGCTCAGCTCAGCTCAGCAACTTGCGACAATGTTCATTATTTTTGTCATTTCGTGGCAATGAAACAATGAGGAGATAACCATGGCCACCATCGAATAAGTATATCAAATAATAACATGTTTTAAAAGTTTTCCAATTAATTGCTAATTAGAAACTTAATACAAAGCAAAATTTGACAAATTAGAGGTAAGATAATATAAGTTCGAAATTATTTTAATAATTTTCATGGAAATGGGATGAGCATAGTGAAATTTTGCAAGAATAGGAACCTCCTTGTAGTTATGCCTCATTAAATATATGTGTGTATACTTGATCAGCATAAAATTGTGGATTTTGCATGAATGTCAACCTAACCCAATATGGATTATAAGTTGGTAAAGCATCGAAATAATTGTCATAGACCTCCCTCTTATTAATTTATGTCAACATTTGGTTTGTTCCTGAACTGCAACAATATATAAGTGTTTTTCTATGATAACCGATTTTCCCTTTATGATATCGAAAAAAAAATGCAAAAATAGTAGATTCTTACAGGTTCTGGAACAGACCAATTATTGTCTCGAAGAACTGAGTCGTTCAAACAATGTGTGCCCGTCTGTGTGTTTTGAATGGAAAAGTCATCTTGTATTATCAAATTTGAGAATTCTAGACTTATCCATTACCAAATTTAGTACCATTTTTAAATCACCTCCAAACATCAAACACAGATACCATCAGTAATCTAAATATCAAGTATTAGAATTTTGTCTCTATCCCTTAAACCATAATTCTCATACCAAAGCTCTATTCGTTCACATAATACCAAATGGTATTATTTTAGAATATAGTACCATTTTAGAATTTTACCCAACCATAAGTTGGAATTTTCAAAATCCTTTTGGTGCATCTATCCTGCACTCCCTCAGTGACCCTTATTCCAAATTTCAGCTCATTTCGTTTGTCCAATACAAAGTAGGATTTTCCAGTCTTATCACACCCCTGCGCACTAAGACTTCTAGCTTCAGCCGTTTCAGTTATTTTTCTACACTTTTATATACAGGGTGAGATAAAAAACCTGCAACAAAGTCAAACACCATAATTTTTATTTTTTTTTTTTTTTTCAAATTTTATTGAATGAAAGCAAAAAATGTGGGAAATAACATAAAATTTTAGATCAAGTTTAGATTTGTTTGAATTGGTCACCTTTGGCACGAGTTATGGCCTTTACACTGGCAATGAATCCTTCACACGCTGCCCGAATGTTGCTCTGAGCTATTTTGGCCCATTCCCGGCGTAGCGCTTGCTTGAGGTGATCGACACTTTTGTATTTTTAGTGCCAACCTTGCTTTCCAAAATACTCCAGACACAATAGTCCAACGGATTGGTATGAAGCGGGGAACCTCATTTTCTAACCATTCTTGGGTGGCGCTAGTGCTGAGTCCTGTTGGAATGTCACAGATCGGCGGCCAAAATATTTGAGTGCCCAAGACTTTAATACACCCTCCAGAATATTTTCGCGATAATATTCCAAATTTATTCTGAGGCCACGGACGATTAATACGAGCGGAGAGCGACCATTGGTTATTTCTGTTGTGGTGTAAGTTCTTGCACTTTTTATAGCCTCCACCATATTATGGAGGGTATATTAACTTTGTCATTCCGTTTGTAACTCCTCGAAATACTCATGTCAGACCTAACAAAGTATATATATTCTTGATCAGCGTAAAATTCTAAGTCGATTTAGCGATGTCCGTCTGTCTGTCTGTTGTAATCACGCAATCTTTCGAACGAATTGAGATAGAAGGCTAAAATTTGGCACATATGTTTATTTTTCCAGTAGCAAGGTTAAGTTCGTAACTGGGCCATGTAGGTCCACGTTTTCATATACCCTCCATATAACGGCACCCCCGATATTCGGTATTTTGATCATTTTAGCGACATTATTCACCGGAATTGTTTCAAATTTGGTATTTGAAGTTCGTAGTGGTTACTACAGCCTATGACAGAAAATGTCTGTGCAGAGCCACGTCTTTGTATAGCCCCCATATAACAGTACCTCCCAATATTCGGTATTTGGATGATTTTAGCGTCATTATTCACCGAAGTAGTTTCAAATTACGTATTTAGAGTTCGTAATGGGATCTACAGTCTGTGACAGAAAATTGTATATACAGGGCCAGGTCTTCGTATAGGCCCCATATATCAGTACCTCCCTATATTCGTTGTTTTGACGATTTTAAGTACAATACACAAAGAAATTGTTTGAGATGTCGTATTTCAAATTCGTAATGGATGCAACAGCATGTAACAGGAAATTTGCTATGGAGATCCAGGTCTTAGCATAGCTCCGATATAACGGTACCTCCCTATATACGGTATTTTGATGATTTTAGCTGCATTATTCACCGTTTTTTTTTTTTCAAGTTTCGAATTTGAATATGGTAATGGCTTATGACAAACCACGTCATATAGACTCCAATATGTTTTTAAGATTTCAACAGAGTTTTTAACGGATTTATTTTTGGAAAATTTCCAAATTCTTTCCAAATGTTGAACGGTATTGAAAATTCGGCACGACCGAACTTACTGCTTTTTAACTTTAACTTTATCAATATTTGTCGAATGAAATATTGCGATAAGTTCAGCTCACGAGCCATTTTTCGACCACTTCGAAGCGGGTTTCGATCAAGTTGCTTCTTTACTTTTGGAACCATTTATGCTGATTTTCCAGCCAAATATAAAGAAATCACGCTTGAATTCCACCACGAATAACTTTTTTCTGGAAAATTCTCACCAAAGTGCTTTTTACGCTTGTAAACAATATAATGAGCTGTCACTGGAATAATTTTTACAGCTGTCGGACGAGTGACTTAGAAATGACAGCAGTCTGAAATTGGTCGCAATTTTTTATCTCACCCTGTATGCTTAATGGGGTCTACGACGAATATTTAAGGATGTTATATATTTAGGGATGCTATTCATGATCAGCATATAATTCTAAGTCTATTTAACGATGTCCGTCTGTTGAAATCACGATGCAGCCCAATTTGTATTGTGTCTAGGATGATTGGTATTGAAAATGAGATATATCCGCCATATAACGGTATCTCCAGATATTCGCCAGTTTGATAATGTTTTGCACATATTTCCACGGATTTGTTCAAAAATTGGTATTTGTAGTTCGTAATGGGTTCCAGCTCCCTCCATAGCATGTTTCGGTCCACGTTTTCGTCAAGTCCCACATATTGGTACCCTCCGGATCTTCAGTATTTTGATGGTATTTGCCACATTTTTCCATTGATTTGTTTAAAGATTTGTATTTGTAGTTCATAATGGGTTCTAGCTCCGGTGGAAGAATATTTAATATTTCCAGGTTTTCCTATAGCGCATATGCAACGGTACCCACAGATATTCGTTATTTTGATAATTCTAGTCACATTTACCAACGAAATTGTTTCTAATTTGTTATTTAAAAAAATTGAAGACAGCCTCAGCCGGTTTTTTTTTTTTTTTTTTTTGAAAAGTGTAACAACATTATCCAAACGGTCTTTCTGGTATTTGTAGTTTAAAGTGGAACACGGTTGAATTCAGATACTTTTATATATAAATGTTTTATTTACCCAATGGTAGAGGATATTAAAAGTTCGACCCGACCGAACTTAATATTTTTTACTTGTTTTAATTTGGTTTATAAACACCTCGTTTAAATACCTGCATAAACTTCAAATACTCATAACGATTTCCTTATATTTAATAAAAAAAATCAAAATTTACTCCTATACTCCACTGTGCTGCCACCACGAATTGCGATTAAATGAAGTACATAAATCACAATTTATCTATATTTAACTCCCAGTCTAACCTGTATTAGTTGTCAGGGGCGGTGGTGGTGGTGGTGGCATTGTTGTATGTTTTTAATAAACATCATACATCTAATTTTGTCATGTTTATATTTGTTTTCTGTTTTTCTTTTCTAGATTTATTGCTGTGCTTGGTTACGATGCCTTTAACTTTAATGGAAATTTTATCAAAATATTGGCCATTCGGTTCCTGTGCAATTCTGTGCAAAATGATTGCCATGCTCCAGGCGCTGAGTATATTTGTATCGACAATATCAATAACGGCGATAGCCTTCGACAGATACCAGGTGAGTAAATAATCCCCAAAAGATAATTCTGTAATTCACTCCCTTGACCAGAGATAATGATTGGACAACGGCGAGCAAAAAAAAAAAATAAATAAAATAAAACAACACGAAAATGAGTTAAGGATATTATCCTTAATAATACCCAAAAAAAAGGAGTGTTAAATACTTTGTGTTTAATTAATGAATTTGTTTGCTATGATGGTACATGAAATTAATAAACTGGGAGAAAAGTTCAAAAGGATATGGATTGAGAATATTGTTATTTATTTAAACAGAAAGTTTAAAAATAACCTATATAGAGTACATTGATTCTTAAAAAACGGAGGTAAAGTTTAATTATATTTTGTTTTCTATTGAAAATCAGTTGTAGTAAAATACTAACAAACAATTTTCTTTGAGAAAAATAATTGAAGCAATTAATACCGAATTCATGCCGCACGTATACGTCTTATATGCGTATAAGACCTGCAGAAAATATTAGATGTGTAGAAGACCTCCGAGAAAACATACAGAAGGTCTTATATAGAAGACTTCCAGAAGATATCTTTCGTATTGAAGATATTCAGAAGGTGTTCTACGAATAGAAGGCCTCTAGAGAGTTTTCTCTGTCTAGAATGATCCGGAATTCCAAAACCAGAATGCCAGATTTCAAAGCCAGAAGACTTATTGGTCGTCAAGAGCCAGAAGATCTACTGGTCTTCAATAGCCAGAAGACCTACTGGTCTTCAATAGCCAGAAGACCTACTGGTCTTCAATAGCCAAAAGTCCTACGGGTCTTCTAGTGTCAGAAGACCTACTAGTCTTCAACAGCTAGAAGACCTCCTGGTCTTTAAGAGCCAGAAGACCTACTAGTCTTCTAACTCTACAAAGTCAACTGGTCTTTAACAGCCAGAAGACCTCCTGGTCTTCAGTAGCCAGAAGACCTATTGGTCTTCAGCAGCCAGAAGACTTACTGGTCTTCTGCAGATAGTCTTCTGGCTCTGGAAGGCCTACTATTCTTCTAACTCTAGAAGGTCTACTGGTCTTCCACAGCCAGAAGACCTACTTGTCTTCTACAGTCAGAAGACCTGCTGGTCAGCTACAGTCAGAAGCCTTACTGCTCTTCTACAGCTAGGAGACCTCCTGAAATTCTACAGCTAAAAGACCTCCTGATCTTCTACAGCTAAAAGACCTCTTTCGTCCACTGTGACCCGGGTTTCGATCAAGTCGCTTCTTTACTTTTCGAACCATTTCTGCTGATGTTGCTGTGGCTTAGAAATGACTGCAGTCTGATATTGGTTGCAGTTTTTTCGTTTTACCCTGTAGAAAGAATATCTCCTGCTCTTCTATAATTTTGAGATCTTTTGGTTTGATAAAGATAGAAGGTGATCTAGAAAGTCTTCCGTGTAAAGAAGACCTTGTGCCTTCTTTCTAAAGAAATACACCATTCTTTTATAATACTTGTAAATTCATCTGAAGGTCTTATATATACTTCAACGGTCTTATATACCATGAATATCTCTGAAGGTCATCTACACAACCTGGAATTTTTCCGGAGGTCCTCTTCTTCTGCAATCCTTCGGAATATCTTGTCTTCTGTTAAAAAGAAACCTTATTGAGACCTTGTATCGATAGATGAAACATTACAAATCCGTAATAAACATTCTAAAAATGCGAGCTCTCCTAACGTATATGTTCCCATTCAATCATAATGACTACTTTTCTTGGTAGTTAACTGCAAAATTCTAATTTAACTCTTCCATCTAACATTCATTAACTTATTACCTTTGCATCTTAATTTCTTTGAAAAATTTAACCACTGTGGAGTTTTCATCAACATATGTTGCTTGGTGACACGAATACAACATATGGCAAATACATGCGTGTATGTATGTGTGTGTGTGCGTGTATATGTGTAATAACGTATTCGAGCATAAGAAGCCAAAGTAAATTTAAATTTACGAGTATGTTGACTTTCTGCTGCTATGCTTCACTCATCAAATTCTTGGTATCGTCTGATGATGTTGCCACAGTCTTTGAGCCGACAAATAACTTAACGAATATAATTTGTCAAAGGCCATATGGTTTTAAGACATGACACGAGAAACAAATATAAGAACATTTATCTATTGGATTTGAACAAATTACAACAATATCTGTTGCGTGCGTTGTATTTTATGGTTGGAATTTGCATTAAAGTTGTATTCTGTTTGTTAGAAATTCAATATAAATAGAGATACTTTTATTATGTATACCGACGGTAAGATAGGATAATAAATGCGATTCGTTTGACCTAGTTTCTGGGCAATTGAAAGGAAACAGCATCATTTTTTGTTGCAATTCCGATACTGAAATTCTTGGTCAGATATATTAATATATATATAAATGTATTAATATAATAGGGCCACAGATTTCCTTCTTATTTGCATCTCAGATGGTAGGAATACCTTTCCTTTGTGGTAGGAATTTTTGATAATGATGACAATATTTGCGTCATATCTTATAACATAAAATGATTAACATAACTTCAAGTTTATGCTCAGCTTTTAATTTTTCTTTTTTTTATTTTTAAACAGCTATAGGAAAATTTTTCGAAAGAAACAAAAAAACCACATTTACAAAAAAAAAAAAAAAAGTAAAAAAGCAGTAACTTAGGCCGGGCAGAACTTTGAATACCTTCCACCATTTGGAACGAATTAGAAAATTTTCAAAAAAATAAAATCCATTAAATTTTATTTTAAATCTTTACAATATCTAATATAGGAAGGTGTCGATATATGGGGGTATATATGATATTGTGGACCTATTAAGACAAATCTATGTCTGGGTGTAAAGTACTCACAAGGAACTCCTTGTGTGGACTTTCAGATAATTCCATTGGAAAAAGTGGCTAAAATCATCAAAGTACTGAATATCGGGGGGTATCGTTATATGGGGGATATACGATATTACGGACCTATATAGACAATTCCCTTTCAGGGGGTAAAGTGCTCACAGAGAACTCCTTGTGTAGATTTTCAGACAATACGATTTGAAAATGTGGCCAAATCATCAAAATACCGAATATCGGGTTACCGTTATATGGGTGCTAACCTATATAAAGAATTCTCTGTTGGGGGGTAAAGTGCTCACAAACAACCCCTTGTGTACAATTTCCGTTGACAAATGTGGCTAACATCATCAAAACACCGAATATCGGGGGTACAGTTATATGGGGGATATACGATATCGTGGACCTATATAGACAATTCTCTCTCAGGGGGTAAAGTATTCACAAGGAACTACTTGTGTGAATTTTTAGACAATTCCATTGAAAAATGTGGCTAACATTTTCAAAATACCGAATATCAGAGGGTACCGTTATATGGGGGCTATACGATATCGTGGACCGATATAGCCCATCTTCGAACTTGACCTGCCTGCAGCCAAAAGAGAGATCTGTGCAAAATTTTAGCTTCCTATATTAATTCGTTTAGACTGTAGCGTGATTACAACAGACGGACAGACGGACGGACATGGCTAAATCGTCTTAGAGTTTTACGCTGATCAAAAATATATATACTTTGTTGGGTCTACAATGATTATTTCGATGAGTTACAAACGGAATGACGAACTTAATATACCCTCCATACTATGTATGGTGGAGGATATAAAAATACATGAAATATTTAATAAAATTTGCCAATTAAGCGGTCCTGAAGGTGAAATAAAATTATGCAAGTCAAGCTCTTGCAGTTTGTTCAGAAAAAGGCGGATATCATATCACGGTGGCGCCCACCACTAACAGTTACGTTGCGATTTGCAGCATTTTTGAAGAAAAATTGTCCAATGATGCCACCAGCCCAAAAACCGCACCAAACCGCAATACTTCTAGCTGATCTCCACTCCAAAATCGACAAGTATGTATATCGAAATATACATCTATTTTTAAAGAATTGAAGTAGGTTAATAACATTTTACACAAATGTACATTATGTGTGCAGGGCTTTTGGTATTGAAAATTGGCCATGTAGGTCCACGTTTTGGTATAGCCCCTATATAACGGTACCTCCCGATATCCAGTGTTTTGATGATTTTTGCCACATTTTTAACGGATTTGCCCAGAAATTGGTATTTGCAGTTCATAATGGGTTCTAGCTCGTGTGGCGAAACATTGTGGGTATAGGTGCACGTTTTGGTATAGCCCCCATATAATAGCACCTCCCGATATTCGGTATTTTTAGCGATATTATTCCCCGGAATTCTTTCAAATTTGGTATTTGAAGTTCGAAATGGATAAACCAGTCTATAAGAGGAAATTGTCTGTGCAGGTCCACGTCTTCGTATATCCCCCATAAACGCTACCTCCCGATATTCGGTATTTTGATGATTTTTGCCACATTTTTTTCACGGATTTGTCCAAAAATTAGTATTTGTAGGTCATAATGGGTTCTAGCTCGTGTGGTGAAACATTGTATGTATAATTCCTCGTTTTGCCGATATTCGATATTTTCATGATTTTTGCCACATTTTTCCACGGATTTATTTTCACGTTTTCCTATAGCGCACATATAATGATACCCACCAATATCCGGTATTTTGATAGTCCTAGTCACATTTATGCACATAAAATCATTTCAAATGTGATAGATGACAATCCTTGATGTATTAAATTGTCCGTAGAGGTTCCCCTTTTGGTATGGCCCCATATAACGGCCTCATTCACTTTATGTTTTTTTGATAAGTTTAACTGCATTATCCATACGGTCTTACTGGTATATGTAGTTTAAAGTGAAACACGCTTGAATGCAGATACTTTTATATAAAAATGTTTCCTTTATCCTAAGGTGGAGCGTATAAAAAGTTCTGATTTTTTACTTGTTTATTTTGCTTTTATTTTTTGACTATTTCGTTTATCCCCTTTGATGATTTCGAAATGGCTGCTGACAGTGTTTTATGCTTACACGCATTTTTTAATAAAAAAAAGTCCTGCAGCCTACATTTCTTCAGTTGTTGAACTCAACACATACCGACTTACACAC